ATTTGCATTCATTTCCCATACAATAGATAATTAAGTGACAGTTCACTCCGTTACGTTACTTCCATTATAACCCAGGCAGTAGAGAACAGATATGGTAGATAATTGTTACAGAAACGAGCTACAGGGCATGAATCACGTAAAGCTGCCTTTACATGAGGCGATTCAACATTGCTCTGGAAAAATCGGTCGTGTAAATAGTGATTCAAAAATCGCTTGCCCAAAGTAGAGACCAAGTCAACTATTGCATGCGGTTATCGCTTGTCAAAAAATCGCCTCTTGTAAAGGCGGCTTTAAGCTGCCGTCTGAACGATATCGATTTTTCACATTCCCTTTTGGTGATGCTCGGTTCATTTATACACGGCGATTTTTGTGTATGTCCCCTTTTAGACACGTCAAGTCTTGAAAGCAATTTTAATGGGCTGTTTTTGCTTACGCGTAAAAGCACATTTTGCGCATTTAGTTCTAAATGCTACTCTAAATGTACATTTATCCATATAAAATTCGTCACCTAAATGCAACTAAGGGCCGGTTTTTCAATGTCTGTTTAGCACAAATCGGAGGTAGAAGCTCCGGTTAAGCACAACTACTGCTTTATCGATCACATGTTACATGCATGATGTCGAAATCGTCGATAGTGTAGTGGTAGTGATAACCAGACATTGAACAACCGGCACTAAATGCAACTACAATTTTGCATTAAGGGCCGGTTACTCAATGTCTGGTTAACACTAATCTCTGGTTAAACATCTTTATCGACGTTACCGACTCCCTGTTATATGAATGAAGTCGAATACGTCGATAACAATGACATTGAATAACCGGCTCTAAGAATCTAAATGCTAAAATCAACCCTATGATCCTTCAAAATTTCCAAGAGCGAATATGGTTTAGGGCCGGTTACTCAATGTCTGGTTAATGCTAATCCCCGGTTAAACATAGTTATCGACGTTATCGCCTCCCTGTTGTATGCATGGAGTCGTAGACGTCGATAACGATGTTTAACCGCAGATTAGTGTTAACCAGACATTGAGTAACCGCCCTTAATGAGAAAAAGTAGCAACATTGCTTTTTCGCGTATACAGTGGCTAGCTGCGTTTCAGTGTTCGCCGATCGACGGTAGAACATCGTTATCGACGTTACCGACTCCATGTTATATGCATGGAGTCGAATACAACAAAC